TTTACTTCCAAGTTTCACATTCCAATCAACAATAATTATAAATGCATTTTTATTGCATGTTTGATCAATTTCAGACTGAAGAATTTGATAGAATTCCCCAATATCTTCATCATTGCTTTTGGTGGTTTGTGTGTAAATTTGAATAATTGTTGCATTAGCTGGTTTTCTTGTAGGTGTATGAACGTTATCCTATCACACAGAGTATTGTTCATCAATATAGATATTTAAATGTTTTTTTTGATAATGAATACAACAATATTCTTCTTCAGTTTGTCATTCCTGGCAATTTCATTAAGGAAAAAAATAATTAGCTATATTAATATTAAAACAAGGGCCATTTGATATCATAGCTTATTAATTTTTATATTATTTTTCTGGCCATATTTTATTGCAAGATTGGACTAAAATACTTTCAGTTTAAAATTTATGAGGTGTTTTACTTATTTTTTAAATTCCAATATAATAGCATGATGACTCATTAGATTTCATGAAATTTAGCATCAGCATTAGCTTTCAATTGGACATATTATGTAACATACTGAGTTCCCATAAATAAAGAATCTAAGAAAATTAAGTGCTTTTTTATTTAGATGAAAATGCTATTGTTTCTTTCCTATATAATCACATTTCAGTCATAATTTGAAAAGATGGTGCTTTATTTCTGTTAATGAATATTAATAGAGTGCAGTTCTATTAAACACAATGTTGTTATTTAGTGTCATAGCGACCCTGTATAGGGTTTCCAAGGAACAGCTTGTGAGTTTGAATTGCAAGGCCTGTGGTTCAAACCCACTAGCTGCTTTACAGGGTCGCTATAAGTCAGAACCAACTTGATGGTACTAAACAATAAAAACATGATAAAATATAACAAAGGCACCTGTCTAGACCAGTTGCTGTTGTTGTTAGGTGGCATGGAGTCAGTTCTGATTGACAGCAACCCTATGTATAGCTGAATGAAACACTACCCAGTCCTGCATAATCCTCACAATTTTGTTTGAGCTTGTTTTTACCACTACTTTATCAATCTATCGAATTGGGTGTCTTCCTGTTGTTAATGGACACTCCACTTGCCCTTCTGACAACATGTCCAAAGAATGAAAAATGAAATCTCACCAGCCTTTTTTTCTAAGGATCTTTCTGACTGTACTTTTTGCAAGACTGATTTGTTTGTTATTCTGGAAGTCCATGGAACTTTCAAATTTTTTTTGCCTAAAACGATTAATTCAAATGCATTAATTTCACTTCAGTTTTTCTTATTCATATTGTTTAACTTTCATGTATATATGAGGCTACTGAAAATATCATAGCTTGGGTCTTCAAACTGATAACTTTACTATTAACACTTTAAAGAGATTATTTGCAGCAGATTTGCCAAATGTGATGTGTCCTTTGATTTCTTAACTACTGGTCCCAGGAGTGTTGATTGTAGATTCAAGCAAATGAAGTCTTTGCCAATTTCAATCTTTTCTTCTTTTATCAAGACATTATTTAGTGGTCCAGTTGTGAGGATTTTTAGTTTCTTTACATTGAGATACAATCCATACTAAAGGAGGTAGTCTCTGATATTCGTCAGTGTTTTAAGTCCTTTTCACTTACAGCAAGCAAGGTTGTGTCATCTGCATATTGTAGGTTGTTGATGAGTCTTCCTCCAATTTTGATGCCACATTCTTCTTTATATAATCCATTTTCTCAGATTATTTGCTCACAATACAGATTGAATAAATATGGTAAAAGAATACAACCTTGGCATACACCTTTCCTGATTTCAAACCATTCAGTGTCCCCTTTTTCTGTTCAAATGACTGCCTCTTTTTCTATGTACATATTCCTCATGAGAATGAAGGATTCTGCAATACCCATTCTTCATAACATTATCAACAATTTATTATAATCCAGATGGTTGAATGCCTTTGAATAGTCAATAATGCACAAGTAAACATTTCTTTGGTACCCTCTGCTTTTAGTCAAGAACTTTTGGATGTCAGCAATGATATCCCTAGCTTCAAATCTTCTTCAGAATCTGTATTGAATTTCTGGAAGCTCCCTGCTGCAACCATTTTTGAATTATAATCAGCAGAATTTTACTTGAATGTCGTATTAATGATACCGTTAGTTGACTACCTAACAAGGCTTAGCTTGCAATGCTGAAAGAGTCTGTGGTCAAAATATTGAACAATGTAGGAAGAATTGAAAGAAGATGAAAGAAATACGCAGAGTTACTATACCAAAAATAGTTGTTTGATATTTAACCATTCCAAGAGGTAGCTTAAGATAGAAATCAATGCTACTTAAGAAAGAAGTCCCAGCTGCATGAAAGGCATTAGTAAAAATAGAAAAAAGACAAGTTTCCAGCAATTGACAGAATACAAATTGAAATATTTTAACAAGTTGATGTTTGTTAAAAGATGACATTCTTTTGTTACCTTGCTTTGAAATGGTCACAAATGTGGATGTCTGCCAATCAGTTGGTCTTCCAAATTTCTCCGTATAGACTATTGAGCACCTGCAGTGCTGCATCAATTTGTTGAAATATTTCAATTTGTATTCTGTCAATTTCTGGAGACTTGCTTGTTTTTTTGTTTTTTTTACTATTGCCTTTGGTACAGCTGTGACGTCTTCCTTAAGTAGCATTCCTATCTTAAGCTACCTCTTGGAATGGTTAAATATCAAACAATTATTTTTGGTATAATGACTCTGCATATTCCTTTCATCTTCTTTTGTTTCTTCCTGCATTGTTCAATATTTAGATAATAGAAACTTCCAGTATTGCAAGCTAAGGCTTGAATTTTTTCATCAGTTCTTTCAGATTGAGAAACACTGAGTGTGTCTGCTCTTCCCTTTTGGCTTTCTGACTCCAGGTCTTTGTACATTTCATTATAATACTTGACTTTGTCTTTTCAAGATGCCCATTGAAATTTTCTGTTGTATTCTTTTACTTTCTCATTTCTTCCAGTCACTTTAGGTTTTCTATGCTCAAGAGCAAGTTTCATAGTCTCTTCTAACGTCCATTTTGGTCTTTTCTTTCTATCCTGTTTTGTTTGTTTTTTTGTTTTATGACCTTTTGCTTTCTTCAAGTATGATGTTTTTAATATCACCCCACAAATCTTGTGATCTTCAGTCATTAGTGTCTAATGCACCAAATCTGTTCTTGAGGTGGTTTCTAAACTCAGGTGGAATATATACAGTGTTATATTTTGGCTCTCATGGACTTGCTTTAATTTTCTTCAGCATCAAACTGAACTTGCATGTGAGCAATTAACATTTGTTTCACAGTCTGTCCCTGGCCTGGTTTGGGCTGATGATATTGAGCTACTCCATCATTTCTTCCTACAGATATAGTCAGTTTGATTCCTGTTTATTCCATCTGCTGAGGAGCACCTTTTATGTTGTTGTAAAGAGGTATTTGCAATGAAAAAGTCTAGCAAAATTCTGTCATGTGATATTTAGCATTGTTTCGATAACCGAATCAATAGTTTCCAACTACTGATCCTTCCTCTTTGTTTCCAACTTACTCATTTGAATAATCAGTAATTATCAGTGCATCTTGATTGCATGTTTGATCAATTTCAGACTGAAGAAGTTGGTTGTTGTTGTTAAGTGCCATCGAATCAGTTCTGATTCATAGTGACCCTGTATAAAGTTTCCGGGAAATGGCTAGTGAGTCTGAACAGCTGACCTTGTGGTTCAAACCAACCTTATGGTCAAATGCTTATCCTACAGCACCGCACCAGGACTCCTGAAATTTATGGAATGCTTCATGAATTTGAGTGTCATCACTGGGTTTAGTGGTTGGTGCATAAATTTGAATAATAGTGGCATTAGCTGGCCTTTCATATAGGCTCTAGATAATTTCCTATCACAGACAGCATTATACTTAAGATAGATCTTTAAATGTTCTTTTTAATGAGGAACATGACACCATTTTTCTTTAACTTGTTCCTAGCATAGTAAACCATATGATTGTCTGATTCAAAATGGGCAATATCAGTCTATTTCAGCTCACTAATGCCTAGGATATTTATATGCATGTGTTCCCTTTCATTTTTAATTATTTCCAACATTCTTAGGTCCATGCTTCATATATTCCGTGTTTCAATTATTAATGGATGTTTGCAGCTATTTCTTCTCATTTTGAATTGTGCTCCATCATAAAATGAAAGTCCCGAAAGCTAAACTCCATCCATGTCAGCAAGGACAACTCTACTTTGAGGAGGCAGCTCTTCCCCAGTTGTATTTTGAGTGCCGACCTGAGGAGCTCATTTTTCTGACACTATATCTAACAATTTTCTACTGCTATTTATAAGATTTTCAGTGGCTAACCCTTCAGAAGTGGCCTACCTCTCCTTCTTCCCAATCTGTCTTAGTCTTGAAACTCCACTGAAAGCTGTCCACCATATGTGACCCTGCTGGTATTTAAAATATCGGTGGCATAGCTTCCAGGATTGTTAATATGTTAAGTGACCGTTGGGTTGGTTCCAACTCATAGAAACACCGTATAAGGTGTAGGAACAGCTGGTGGGTTTGAATAACCAATCTTATGGTTAGTAATCCAGTACTTGTCCTACAGTGCCACACTAGGACCTCATTGCTAATATGTTGTTATTATTGTTAAGTGTCATCACATCTGTTCCGACCCATAGTGGCCCTGTATAGGGTTTCCAAGGAGTGGCTAGTGAGCTTGAACCATCAACTTTTCATTTCAAACTGACCTTGCAGTCCAGGGCATTAACCCATAGTGCCACACCAGGACTCCCATTGCCATCTAATAATAGAAATAATAGGATGCTAAGGTATCTATAGCTACAAAAGGAACTTAACAATTTATTTAGTCACTATATTTTTCAGATGAATTATCAAGTAACTTGAGAAATGTCATCCAGATAACATACCTAATATGGTTTTTATTTTGATCGGAGAAAATGTACTTCTTGTATCCTAAATGCCGAGTAATTGGTGAAAAAAGCTTACGGATTTCAATGATTGTTGTTTTTTGCCAACAGTTAGATTCCAATGGGGAGCTGCTCATCCGAAATGCTCAGCTGAAACATGCTGGAAGATACACTTGCACTGCTCAGACAATTGTGGACAATTCTTCAGCTTCAGCTGACCTTGTGGTAAGAGGTAAGAATTTCAGCATTGTAAAATCACAAAACCAAAGGTATTCGCCTTGCATAAATATGTATAATCTTCTGGTGACTTTGGCTCAAATTCTTATATATTTAGAATCTTGATCCTTGAAAACAGCTTCTCACCCATGCCTAATGATGATTTATGCCAGACAAGTGGTAAACAACACTGATTTTGTTTGTTTAACTAACTACATATCTTCTAGAAACTTTTACCACATACCTCCTACTAAATGTTTATACTTTTATACTTAGTACTTACCAGAAGCTCTCATTTCAAGCTAATACTTTCAGTGTGTTGAGTGTAGTGCTTTTTTCTGTTTTCAGTTTTTCAGTCTGATGCTCTTTAGCATAACTTCAAATATTATATATTTTTCACTACCATCTTAACATGAAGTTTTAATTTGTAAATATATCATGTTTCTATTTGTTAATGCTTTTCAGACTAGTGTTTTTTTTTTTGTTTTTTTGTTTTTTTTTAAATTTAATTGAATATAATTGAGAATACACTAGAATACATGCTTATTGAAAGTTTCACCCCTTTAATGCCCACCTCTGCTTTTTCTGTGAGCATGGCTGGTAACTTACTATGCCTTGTTTAAAATCATGAATGGACTCTATACTCACTTCTCACAGAATGAAGTCCAGTCCCTTTAGCTTTGCATTCAAGATGTTCCACGCATTCATCTCAGCATATTTAGCTTTTATCTCCCACAATTCTACTCATTCTCCACTGCTTACCCATCTAACAAATGCAATGGTGTTGGTTGTGTGCTGTTGAGTGGTTCCGATTCATAGCATTCTTGTATAGGGTTTCTGACGCTGTAAATCTTTGTGGGAGCAGAAAGCCTCATCTTTCTCCTGCAGAGCAGCTGGTAGATTAGAACTGCTGACCTTGCTGTTAGCAGCCCAACTCCTAATCCAGTATACACTGGTAGCAGCAACCAGTGCTCCCTTTAACAAATATACCCTAGCATTTATACTTCAGGTCCTTCAGTTACAGAATTACTCCCATGCCTGGTTCTCATCTTTTCTTGTCCAAATCTTATCCATTTTCAGGACTTAACTCACATATTACCAAATTCATTAATTTTTCCTTGTGTGCCAAATATGAGCTCCTCTCCCCTAAAACTTACTATTTTTTCTACTGTGTTTTATAGCAACCTATACATATATGAGTTATCTACTTTCCTAAAGTATTCATTCATATATTCATTTTTAATTTGGTTAATTGATGAGGAGCTTTGCATAGTTCTACAACTCTCTCTTTTTCTCTTTGTTGCTATCATTGTTACGCCAATTTATATTTATTCAGAATGTTTATTGACTATTAATTACTAGCACATTTTGAAGTTAGTTTTTAGCACCAATCAAAAAATTAATAAATAAAATTATTTATGTGATATATTTTTGTTAATGCACCTTCAAGTACCAGCTCAATGCAATTCACTTAAATTCATGTAGCTACTACATTTGATATAAAGCAGTGATAATTTGGAATACTTTGAGGTTTCTTTCACAAATAAATGGAAACAACCCATCCATAGGCCACTTGTTGAAAATTAATTAAAATCCATGGTTATAAATTCCCAAGTTAATATAAGTTTCATTTAGGTTTAGTATTTCTATTTAGAGTGTTTGCATATCTGGGACTTCCCTTGATTTTAAGAGTTATTGGGGAAACTAACTAGTTTACTGTTCTTTCTATTCAGACCATTAACTATTAAGTCATTCCTAAAAATAACCTGTGTATAGATTTAATTGAGATTGTTTACAAATTAAAAGAATGAGTAGTATTATTATAGGGGTTATACTTTTATTATGAAACATGAACATTCATTACATTGTAGTAAACTCCCAGTATTTAGAGGGAAGAGGAAGTTTTGCAGACATAATGCAAGAATATTAATGATATACCTACACATACTTGGGTAATTAATAATCATTTTAATGAGCATTTTTGGTAAAAGTGAAGCCAATAGAAAAAAACTTATAGCAGATATTTTGTGGAAACAAAGTTTGGTTTTGTTTGCCATTAGTTTGTTTGCTACAATTTTTCTAAAAGCCTTTTAGTTCCCAGAAAAATGCCTTAAAGCAATGCAATCTGGAAAGTACACACAGTTGAAATATAACACAGCATTTTAAGTTTTTGCCCTATAATAGGATGTTAATAAAATCCCTGTACCACCAGGGATCTTTCATAAAACTAGACAGGCAGGTAGATGAAAAGGGTCTATTTTTTTTAACACTGTTAACATCTGCAGTCCTACTAAGTCTCTAAAATTTATTTACAATAATATAAAATATATTCTTTTTTTTTTTTTATGGGAGCCCCTGGGTAGTGCAAATGGTTAACACACTCGATTGCTAACTACAAGTTTAGAAGTTCAAGTGCCTTGGAAGAAAGACCTGATAACCTACTTCCTAAAAACTCAACCACTGAGAAACCTGCAGAGCACAGTTCTCTGATACACACGCAGTCACCATGAGTTTGAGCTGATCCCATGACAACTGCTTTATTGGTCATTTATACCAAGAGAAAATTGCAGCTGAAATAGTCAAACACATTTCTACATAGCTTGTGAAATAGAATATGCTTTATATTTTTATATAAGTGGATATTAAATTGAATAGGTCCTTATAATTATGATGATGTTAAGGGTATGTGTTTCTTGCATGCATTCAAGAACAAGGGGATAACTATTTAGTCCATTTTCCCACCAAGTTCTATTTTTTATCAAGTTTAAGAAATCATGAACAGGCTTCAAGAGGCCTCCTGAAATGCTATGTAAAATTCCATTATGTAGGTACATTACCCTGGGAAGAGGATTTATTATTTTCAGCAGATTTCCTTTGCTAACAATAACCTAAAATGCATCAAAAATCTTAACTTAACAGTTCACCTAGATCAAAACTCTTGAAAGAGAAACTAAGAGACGGTTATTCACTTCATGCAACAGTACAATCTACAGAAATTTTCAATTAGTGATGTCAAATAGACATTTAGAATGGGAACAGCTTAAGAAAATTTCAAAATGCATCTATTTCTCAGAACATATTAGTCATGTCCTATATTAGATATTCTGTGACAACTTTCCAAATTAGAAACTTCACTAATTTATGTTCAGATATCAGTGATCTAAACCACAGATGCTGAAATTCTTGCTATGAAAGGTACAATGAATAGAGTAGAAGGAAAAGCAATTTCCTCTGAGGATAACTAATGAAATATTTTTATAATAAAATTAATGTAGTGTATAAAGTATCAGAAAGCTGAAACAAAAGTAGAACTCTCTAGACATAATTCTGATAATGTGACTTTCTTTTTAGCTGCATGTGGCATTCATTATAGGATCAGTACTTGACTGTACACCACAAGGTTGGCAGTTCAAACCCACCAGCTGTAACTTGGAAATCCTATATTAGAGTCGCTATGAGTCAGAACCAACTTGATGGCACTTAACAATAATAACATCTTGAAGTAAATAAATACAAAGTAAAAACTGCTGCTGTTCTTGTGTGTATTCAATTGTAAATGTTAGTGGGTGAATGTAGGTATGTGTATAAAGCTTGATGAAAATTTCAAGGAGAAAAAAATATATCTTGTAGGCCTTTCATCATGTTTTTAAGAATTGAATTTAGAGTGAAAGCAGTGTATTGGGTAACTCTGAGTGCTCCTAAATGTAAAACTGAAGTTAAACACAATGAAACACATCCAAACTGCAGTAAAGTGTTGGGCCTGATTTCAGGGAGCTTTTTACCCAGAAAATACACCTCTTTCTGGTTTTCCATTTAAGACATGGTATGATTGAGAAATAAGAAAGACAATAGCAGTTACCCCAATCAAAAATAATCTGTAGAAAATGGATCCAGTAATCAGATGTGAGACACTGTCCTTTTGTAATTTTCAGAAACCTTTATTTATTACAGTGTTACTGTACATTAGTGTGTTTATCCATTAATTGGGTCCACAGAGGCTCAAGGAAAGGATACCAGAAAAGTGACACATGTTGTCTTATCCTCTCCCAGAAGTAGTACTCACCTTGAATTGGTGTTCAGCTCTGCTTTGTTCATTTGTGAAATATAGGATGTAAATGGAGAACTACAGGGAGGAAATTAAGATGGCTGTTGTTGCCGGGAAGGGATTGTAGTAATAGGAATGAAACTGAGAGTGTGACTTATTAAAAGTGAAGCAGATGCCCTTGTCTTGTAAACCTTCACTTAAGTCACAATAAACAGTTAAAAAACAACAACAAAAGAAAAACTACCATTTGTGAATCAAAAAGAAAGAAAGAATTCATGAATTTGAAAGTACTTGAGCCAAGCCTTGAAAAATGGATAATATTTGGACAAGAAAAGATGAGAACTTGACATGGAAGTAATTCTGTAAATGAAGGAACTGAAGAACAAATACTAGGGTATGTTTGTTAGAAGGGGCTTCGGTAACTTAGTGTGTTAGGAGTTGGACTGCTAACAGCAAGTTCAGCAGTTCTAACCTACGAGTGTTCTGCAGGAGAAAGATGAAGCTTTCTGCTTCCATAAAGATTTACAGCTTTGGAAACCCTATATAAGGTCGCTATGAATCAGAACCAACTGGATGGCACAGAACCAACACCAACATCATATTTGTTAGGTGGGTGAGCAGTGGAGATAAGAGCTAAATATGCTGAGATGAATTCGTGGAACTTCCTGAATGCAAGGGGTGGCAGCTGGATATTTGTGTGAACAGCCCCTACTGTATGAGAAATGATCCACCCACAAAAGACAGAGAAACACACAAACAGGCAGGAGAGATCAGAGAGTTGAGGTTGAGATGAGGTAAAAGATGCGTTTGACATTGCTGCATGTCATGGCCACAGTGAAGACCCAAGACTCGTGACCCAAGCATTGTCATTTGTCTGGATACTTCTCCTGTCTGCTCTGATGAGTGGGGTCCATGCTCTCTCTCCAAAGTGAGGATGTGCTCTCTCTTCAAAGTGAGAACTTCTGGGGAGC